ATGTGCATTACACAAGAAAAATAATTTGAAGTAAAAAAGGAGAAGTCATCAAATGTTGTATATATAGATATTGTAGTATCTATATATACAACATTTTATTATCGAACATTAAGTTTTAAACCTGGCGAACTTGCAACGTGTATCTCGAAAGCACTGCATTGCGGTATTATCTATAAATAATAATCAATCAGTTGAATTTATATCATACATCATAGGAAAAGAGAATACGAGAAAATACATAGAGACATGAAATCACGGTAGATGGCGAAATTAGGCATCAGTAATATAGATACTCAAAGATATTATATATTGGGTATTCTGGACATTAATGGTGGAATATATATACATCACCTATATCGATGATCGCCCATATCGGTTTTTTCATAATGAATAGATTACATTTAAAATTATTTTTTAAATAACAGACTTTTAACAATTATTTCCTATGTTTATTCATCTCTTATATATATATATATATATATATATATATATATATATATATATATATATATATATATATATATATATATATATATATATATATATATATATATCTTATTATAACTTAATTACTTAAAATAATTTTTCTATTTCTTTTCATACACTGACAGACAGACAGACAGACAGACTGTAGACACTGTAAATTATTTTAACATATATGTGCATTAATATTGCAATACCTAGATTTAATATTTGTTATGAAAATCACAATGCAATATGCTGTTGCTATTCCCATTAATAAATAAACAAGCAATTAGTGAAATGATCACTGAACATATTGTAATATAATATTATGTCAGTCGACTAGATTTTTTCAGGTAGAATGCGTAATAAATATTTACATCATTTGGAGGAAATAAGAAATAGTATCTATCTATCTATCTATCTATCTATCCGTCACAACATTTCTAGTGTTCCACGCAATTCCCAGTACCGTAAATTTCGCGCGGCACATAGATATTCGTTTGTTTTGCATCACCCGCACTTAACACACAATAAAATATCCTTGCAAAGTTCAATAATAGCAGTCGCCTATCTGAGTGGAAGTTCTGATATTGCGTCAGACAGTTTCGAGCTGCGGCCGGAGTTCAGCAATGAAGACTTACTGCCCTTGTTGTTACACCAACACTTTCTTATAAGAATATATCGCTACGTCTCAAACTTTCTCCGCCAACTTTGAAACGTTTTCAGTGATACGATTTTGCGAAGTTGTATTAGCTGGAAATTGCTAAGAATATGTTGGCCGTATATTTTACGGGTGTGCATGTGAAAATCTCACTTCCATGTGACCGATATATGTATGCTAATGAAGTAGTAAAAAATTTAAAGTAATTGTTTAAATTCAATTTATTTTGTAGAATAACTTGACTAGTGAAAGAAAATAGCGCTCAAAGACGTAGCGCTTAATTACGTTCAAACAGTTAAAAGTATTTGAATTATTCAAGTTTGTAATTGAAATTACGCAGGAAGAGTCGCGGGATATGGTTAGTAATATACAAATACTGCAAACGCGTTGATAAATTTATAATGGCGTGCAACACAATATTGCGTAATTTAGTGTGTGTAATTAACTTTGATAAAGCGATGTCAATATAACGGAAATCCGAAACTGTTGCGGTAACGCAAATAATTTAGTTTGGCACGCTACGGAGCTGATTGGTAGGCGCGCCATTGATGGCACCGACACCCAAGTACCAGAACAAAAGTTGTTTACCTACAGTCCCGCCGTTCCCTTCAAATCAGCACGAATTCGAGATGTTGACAATACTCAATCAAGCGAAATTCATTTGTAAGGAATTCCACGATGAAACGAAACACCAATCTTCTAAACATTAAATCGCTTTGAGTAAACACTTAAATACAGGTACTTAACAGATATTGGGGATTTAATAAAACGTTTCAGGGAGAAATGAAGCGTAAAATACAGTTCCTTCAAAAGATTAGTCCTTTTTGTCGTGCGGCTGGAGCGGGTGAGGAAATCAGTAGGAAATTGGCCAGCACTCGTGGCCACTGCAATACTGTGGAATTCGAGATATGAACAGTTATAATCGAGGAAATATATCAGCGTGGGCAGTATAGGTGGTGAGCGGAGCTGTATTTGCAGAGTACGAAATTCAAATTCAACGTAAATTTCAAATTAATCATCAAGAATATATACTTGCAAATAAATACAGACTTTAAGTTAAATAATGTTAGTTTGATAATCAATTTGTGTTTATCAAAGAAGTTACCGTATACAGGCAAGTTCATAAAAAAATATTGTTAAAGGAAAAGTGCGCTATGGAAAACATTCTAATAGTTTATAAAAAAATAGAGACTATCGGTCACTAAGTTGAGGACATGGATTGTGTATAAATGTTTCGGTTCGAAACTTCGGACAGCCTATAGAAGTGAAATGAATGTACTTTACGAAGAATTACCATACACGACAATTCTGTGCCTCTAGTGAGAAAGGGTATAACTCAAGTTATAGCCTTTTTCTTTTTTAGGCTACTTTAAATAAGCAAATTTTTCTCTTTCGAATGGTATAAGAATCGTAACGATATCTTTAAAAACAATATATTCGAGATAGTAAACATGTAAAAGGCTACAATTAACAAAATATTTGTGGTAAAAAAGTCATAATTAGAAATAAAACTACAATATTTTACAAAAAATAGTGCCTAAAATGACAAGATACTTAGAACCAACCTTTAAATATGAATTTATTTTTGTGTAAAATGAATCAGTTCGATTTGAACCCTTTTACACCATTAAATAGCAATTATTTTTTTATAGCGTAAAATACACAACATTGTTTTTCTTCAATACTTCAATAAAATAGTTTTAATTCAACTTAAAACTATTTTCACATGATAATTTTAATATTTTTGTTAAGTGTGATTAGGTATAATAGAATTATTTTTAAAACTATAGGTTTTACACAAAAACCGACAATTTCATAAGAAAGAGGAGAAAAAATTACTATAAATGCAATCATTGACTTGTTCAATTAGCAAATAATAAAAGCAGCAGAATTTTTTTTCTTTATTTAAATTAGTTTTTTGGCTCTCCTGAAAAGTGGCCATTTTGAATTGAACCTTTTCTCACTAGAGGCACAGAATTGATCAGAATGTTCTAATACGTCTCTAATAGAACAATTTTAGCTACTGTTGTGTATTCGATGGATTTTTATGAATGTTATTACAGAAATAGATTATGTTTATATTGTATGTAGTAGTATTAATAATGTCAAATAAAACATTAAACAAACGTTGAACATACAAATGTTCTGTTTCAACGGAATTTAATAAAAAGGTAATCAAATTTTGTTGAAATTATCAGAAAAATACTTTTTAAATGAAATCAGTAATAAATCGAAACATTCAATAAATTATTCGTTTCTTTTTAGACTTCTTGGTTAATTCTTCTCGAATTTGTCACGATGTACCAACTGAAATGCTGATTTGGTACTTTGCCAGGGTACTAATCTTATTGCAGTTACCAACTTGCCTTAAAAGGCAAGTCCACAGCTGAACCTAGCCTCCTCCATAAGGGAGTTTTGCCAGTAGTTGCCACGTTTAATAGGTAGGTTGGCAACTGTAGTTTGATTTTTGGTGATGTTTAAAAGGGACACTGTTGCCCATCCCAGTACCATACTCTCCTTTACCATTCTTCTTGTTATCATTTGTACTATATTTGTTTATATAGTATGATTCCATATGAGAGTAATGTAATACATATATATACAAAAAAAAAATTTACAATACAATTGATGATTGACTTGTTTATATGTATAATAGTTATTCTATGTTTTTATATATTTAGTTATATCTATTGATGTAAAAATTGTTTGTATTTGTATTTATTTATATGTATATATATATATATATATATATATATATATATATATATATATATATATATATATATATATATATGTATCTGTGTGTATACATATATACATATACATATTTATAACTTTATTTATCGTATTATTTTTTCACCATACATGTAGGTATGTTATGCTTTATATACAAACTCTATAGGCTATTTCTCCTTTCCGGTTCTTAAGGTTGACTGGAAGGAATCCCTTTAAGAGATAAGTCCGTCTATGTACATCTTTGCTATAACTTAATATCTATACTATAAGTGGATGTACAAAAGTATATAAATAAATATAAATTTACACATAAAATTGTATTTATGTAATTGCGATACTGACTATATGCAGCGTGAAAGCGTCATGAAAGGGAAATACTTTTAGCGACTAGACGACACAACTTCACTAACTCAACCTGCAGTTGGTTGAGCTAGTTAGACTTAGTAAAATTTGAATTTAACATTTAGTTATATAAATGTAATCCCGTGTCAAACATATATAACCTTATAATTTGTGTCCTAAAAGTAACGTTATTTTAATAAGGTTATTAATGATAGTTGTCGTAAGAGAGACTTTAATGATCGAGGAATTAGTAGCAGTATCTCTTACATCACCAAAGCCTAACTATGGTTGATAACCTGCCTGTCAACATGGCAATTACTGGCAAAACCTTTCCTATGGAGGAGGTCTATATTCAGCAGTAGACAGTCATCAGCTGACATGATAATAATGATGATGATGATTAATGATATTTGATATTTTATCGCACTTTAATATAGAACGTAATATTATCAATACATATAAAGAAAATGGTCCTGACAGACTATTAACGCACGACGGTGTTTACCAATAATTATTAGTACAATGTTTATAATGCATTTGTATTGCAATGTAACAGCTTTACCAATATATCATTGTAACTATTATTGGTAAACCTAAATAAATAAATGATCAAAACTACTGTCTAGATTCTAGACTCTAGAACGATGAAATTTGAAATATAGATTTAATTCATAACGTAAGCGCTGGTTGACAAAAGATTTATGAAAATTTCAAATTAAAAGTGAACCACGACACCACGCATTCAAAGCCGCAAGGTAACAGCTAGTATATATGGGTATACAATGATAATAAAATCTTACCTTATAAAACATTTTATTTATAAATCAACACTCAACATTATATCCAAATTTCTATAAAAAAAATATTTGTAATGAACCACGATAAAACTTATTTATACTATTGGGATTTCTTATCCTCAGTTTCGTCATCGTAATTCGTTGGTTGTTCACCAGGTTTCAACAAGCGCCCGACGATGTCATATTTTTCTGGAAAAAAAAAATGTGTAAATTATTACTAAAGGACCACGAAGTATCGTCGATATATGATGTATAAAGAAATGAGAAAAGTAAGAAATCTGCATTGTGTAAGTATAAGAAGCCAAGGTCTGTTCTACTTAGTCTATAGGTCTATAATTATTAAGTATGTTGTGATTAAAAAATAATAAGTTTGAAAGTATTAAAGGTAGACTTTGTACAAAAGTCATCTCTTTGAGCACCTCTGTCCCACTAGTGTTTTTACCACGAAGCAGTATTTCGCTTTAAAGTGAGAGACATGCCAGTGAAATTACTGGGTACGGAGGCATAACACCTTATTCTTCAGGACTAACCACGTATGAGGGATATCGTGGATATTGCAGTATTATACTTTTATTGTCCATTGTGCTGTTTATATCTATTCTATTATCTTCATATCCACAACCGTTCCAGAGTATCATATTATTTAATATAAATTTAGATTTTAAAACGAAGATATTACAGGCATGCAAAATTTTAGTAAATGCAGATTTGAACAGAAAATATACTAATTAATTTAAATAAATGCTTAATCCTCCCCATTTTTCTTCAACTTCGGAATGGCGTATAAGACAATAGAACGTAGCAAAATACGTAATGTAAAAAATCTAAAGCTCAAAGTGAAACCTTAAACTGCATCCTGGCCAGCATTTTGAAATGTCAACAGTATATAGACTGTTCATTAACGATATTAATAATTATGATTAAATAATACACAATATTCTTTTAAAGTAGGCATGGGTAATATCCGTATCGATCCGATATCTATATATTGGGTTTTTCTGGAAATTGATGGCCGAATAATGGTCATCACCCATTTCGATATCTCCCACACCAGTCGAATGTCTGTATTCGTTTCAACTAATGTTATATATTGGGCAACCGGTTGATAACATAACTTTTATCAGGCCAATATATAGATATCGTAACTGCAATATATAAATATTACTGTATATTAACTATATTTTGAAGCGCTTAAAACCTGGGTAATTGGAATTAAGCATCTAGAAATATATTACATAAGCTGGAATATTTTCAGACTCCATCTTGAATTAAAAATATAATCGGTTCGTATTAAAAATTAACAAAGTACAATAAAGTTTTATCGAACGAAGTTTTCCTTAGTCCTAACTTTAGTTAATGGATGTCCTTATTAATAATATAAATATAAAATTGAGTTTGTTTGTTACCTCTTACCGTCTAAACGGCTCAACTACTTCTTATTAAATTTGGTATACAATTAGTATATGTCCAGCATAGAATAGGCCATCCCTTCTTTTCTCGTGGGTGTCGTAAAAGGCGACTAAGACAGGGCGAGGGATGAGCAGCAGCGTCTCACTTAAAACATCTCCAAAGCCTAACTGCGGTTGCAAATCCGCCTATCAAGTGTGGCAACTTCTGGCAAAACCCCCCTAAGGAGAGGCTTATGTTCAGCAGTAGACAGTTAAAAGCTGATTTGACGATGATGATTAGTATTTGGAATGAAGTATATAGGCTACTATTTATCTCGGTGAATAGAAATATTCCGGTTACAAGGACTTTGTCTCAGGTACAAAGTGGTATGATATATTTAATAGTACCTCTAAACTGCTCTTCCCATTCTTTGGCTGAGGCGACCTCATCTGGAGACAAATTGCTGACATCATCCCAGTCTTTGTCGCTGGATGCAACTTGCCCTGTTGCTAAACCGCGGGTAGCATCTCTTCCCGCGAAGGCTGAGTAAGGTCCACCTGAAAATGATAACCAGTATTAATTAATTGACTGTTTTTTTATCATAATGCAAATTGAATTTGGAATTATGTGGTCTCTTCTCTAAATTTTCGTTTTGGCGTATAACTTATTACTAATTGAACAAAGGTAGCCTGAAAAGTTTGCGTTTGTTTTAGAATAAGAATTAAGAAATAAAAAAAATAACATATATAGATTAAAATAAATTTCTCTGGCAAACAAAATATTTCCTTTTTTTTATACAAAAACGACTGTATGAACTTAATTTAAATGAAAGGCTAAAGATTAAAATATTTTATGGAAGAGAGTGGAGTCTTTGCGCAAAAATAGTTTGCTTGGGTACCTTTGCCCTACTTGCTTTTTAGTCGTGAAGTAAGACCCATAAAAAGGGTCTTACTTCATAACTCCATCAGTTGTAAACCGATTTGGAAAATTATTATTTTATCTAAAAGGATATGCTTACAGATTAGTCGCATACAAAATTTTATCAAAATTAGTAGTAGTTTAGTTATTAAATTAATATAATTGGTTTTACTACAGTTGATGTCAGTTTTTGTGGAATATAGTCATATTTCTGTTTCAACGTTATGGCAGAAATTATGGGGTAAGGAAGCATAAAAACATAGTTCTCAGAAATGATAATGCATGAGATGTACTATGCCCTTGGCCGTGTGGTTCTGGCATAGCATAGGCCTCTTCCTTTCCTGTGGGTGTCGCGACTAAGAGAACTTAATGGTAGAGGGATACGCAGCAGCGTCCCTCTTAAATCATCCCTAAATATGCTTGTCAACCCGCCTGACATGCTTGGCATATACTGGCAAACCTCCCCTTATGGGGAAGGCTTATGTACAGCAGTGGACAGTAAACAGCTGAGATAATGAGGTGTATTAAAGGTGTTACAGAGTATTTTGTGTCTATGGTGATGATCAAGTTTATAGGCGACGGTTGCAATTATAAATTATGCACAGAAAATATTCTTTAAAAGAAATATTGGAAATATTACTTTTGTATAAGTATTTAAGTTATTTCGTGCTTAATTACAATATACATTGTGATGTATTTTGTATGATAACAATCAAGGTTAATTAAGTCATTTTCTGACAACATGTCTGACATTAATGTATGCAGCCTAGTGTTGCGACAGGACAAATTACCGGTGTTTATATTTTTTGTTATTAAGGTAATGATAATAACTTGTCACTCGTAATGGCTTCATTTGCGTCATTTAAAGTACCTACCATTCCTTTGAATGGTAGATATTAAAAAAAAAAACTAAAGAGCTTTTGAAAGCATTATGGAAGTTGGAAAAAAATTATGCTTGTCATGTGTCATTATTAAATTTGGAATTGTTAAGAAATTTAATAATAATAATGTAGTCGTAAGATTTTGTGTAGGCTAAGCTTATAAAAATATAATAATTATTAATTTTCTATGAATCCGTTCCAAATATAGATTCTATTTATACCTTCATAAGAAATTATTATTAGCTTTATCACACAGTTACGCTCCCATGAATTATAATGTAGTACTTATTCTAATTATGTAATTAAATTCTAAGTAATTAATCTAGACTAATAGGGTCTATCTACTCGTATGTAAAATAAATTAATACACATCCTTTTAGTTGTTTAAGTACTATAAAGTAATAAACATCCAAAAATTGTTTATTTGTACTTTATTGCATACAAAGATTACATTGTTATAAATGATTTTAAACAAAGATGTACAACAAGCGATCATAATTTTGTAGAAGGTCTTTTCAAGAAAGACATAGAGTGAAAAGAATTATTTATGATTACCAAACTTAATTATTAAAATGTAAACTTTCATATTTGTACTTCATTACAATTATTCATATGAGGTAAGTTAATGGTCGAAAGATGAGGGTTGGGCAGCAGCGTCCTTCTTAAGACATCACCAATCCGCCTGCCAAGTATGGCAATTACTGGTAACCCCCCCCCCCTCCTTTATGGGGGAGGCCTATGTTCAGTAGTAAATATTTAACTGACATCATGACGATGACTCAAGTGGGGGGGTGTCGCTTTTTTTATAAAGAGTTTTTAGGCTGCCTTCGATGTATTTATAAGAAGACTTATTGGGCCATTGTTTTATATGTCTTCCGAAACACGAAGCAACTGAGAATCATTTTCAACCGACAAAAAGTACTGTCAATTTCGTTGCATTTGTTTCATGTTTGCTACATCATAACTTCGTCAGTTATAAACCGATTTGAAAAATTATTTTATCTGAAAGGATTTATTTACAGATTATTCGCATAAAATATTTATCAAACTCAGTTTCATATTTAGATTAAAATAACTGATTTTTTTTTATAATTGAAGTCGGTTTTTTTTGTTGAACGGTCTTTAATTCTTCTTCGGTCTTAAAAACAATTTTAAATATAAAAATTATCCAAACATGATTTTGAAAATTCAAATTTAGACTGGAACTCAATCTTGCGATTACCCCAATAGCACTCATGCGCCGTACAGTTAAGCTGAGCTCTTTTTTAATTAATTTGTACTATTGATACTGTGATAATATTAATGGCTATATTATAATATAGAATAACATAGAAATACTAATTTGAGTTTAAACGAAAAGCTATTTGCAAAATAATCAATTATGCATATATTTATACACGCGTATTTTATTTCATGTAAATTAAGCCAACTAAACGAAACATTAAGCAAGCTAACACGTTTTCATTGGTAACTTTATACGGAACAATTACTGTTGGGTCGGAGTCGCAAGCCTATACAATACATACATTTGTCGTATTGAGAGCATTCTCGCTTGAATCGTTGGATTGGAAAAGAACTTCCTCTTAACAAAAGACCACTTTAAGGCTCAAAATAATTGTATTTTCTTAGCGATGCTTGTCAGTTTTCCAAATAAAGAGATATCGGGATCGGCATTGTGTCCTTAAAATCATTTGTATAATGATTATTTATACTGAAGTATAAGTGAGGGGAAGGGATTATTAGTAATGAAAGCTAACAGGCCTAGTACTAATTGTTTACTCTAACAGGTTGACCTCCGCGCTGTTTCCCCTGGAAACCATGATAATTAATTTTTGATGAATTCACGATGAGCCAACTGACCTGTTTCATTCTCACCTATCACTTCTTACTGGTATACCGATAGTGTAGATGGGGTTACTGTACTATTTATTTATTTTATTCATTAAAAAAACCGAAGTATAATTGTTTATACTTTTAATTGTAACAATGTCTGTATTAAATAAAAAAAAAATTTTTAAATATTTAAAATATCCACACTAATATTATAATTGTAAAAGTGAGTTTATTTATTACTTCTTGACGCAATATTACGGTTTAAGATATTTATTTTTCTAAAGATTTATACATAAATCACTTAAATGAGAAATTGAAAACTATGAATATGCACTTAATATCTACTGTTAGCGAGCGTAATTTATCAAACATCAACTAAAAATAAAACATAATATGAAACTACCTTCATTTTATAAAAATTATAAAACACAATGCGACTCAATACAACAAGTTGCTTATAATGTAAAGGTATTATCTACAATCCTCGGTTAACAGATGGTTAACTTACACATATTGCACTATTATTTTATTTATTATTTGTCTCATTCTGTATATACTTAAATACGCAGTTCACATGCACATACATGTATATTACTCATTTAAATATTATAGTTAAAAACTAAGTTAATATTAATTAAGCTAAAATTAAGTAAAGTTACACTTAAATATGTAAATATCACACATATACTGCAATCAGACTACTTATTACTAGTAAACCTTCAAAATGTGGTGTTTCAATACTCTTTTGAACAACACAGGCGAGTTTATATCTCTAGGTAATTTATTATATAACTGTGCTCCCTCATATTAATAAAATTAGGGATCTGAATCTAGTATATTATATTTTTAAATGACTATTTAAAAAGTAATTATAATCAATCATAGAATATCAATAGCAAAGTAAAACAAGTAGCACGTTAATAAAAATTATTCTGATAACGATATACAATTTTCTATATACGATTTTCTATCTGTTCTCCTTTAACTAAAGGTTGTCTGTAAGAGATTGCCCTAGCGATAAGACCGCCTTTTGTACCTTTATGTGTATATTTCAATCTGTATTTATGTTACTGTATTTCATTTGAATTATTCATTTGTCATTGTATATTTTTATTTATGGTGCAATAAAGAGTTAAATAAATAAATAAAAAAAAAATACAACTAATTATACAACGTTAATGGCAAATAAAAAAAATGAAACAATCACAGATCATTAATGGCAAAGAAAAACAAGTAAAACGTTAATCATAGAATAATAATAACCAGGATAAGTAAAATATTTATTATATAACATTATATATTTATATAATTCTATCACATAAATATTAAAATAATGATTTATGATAAGAGTATTAAAATGTCCAAACAAGTTTTTACCATCAGAATTAAAAAATAAGGTGATAGGTTATAAAAAAAAATTAGATTAAAGATATAGTTCATCAACAGATCATATTTTAAATAATTATATGTATTTATTTATATTATCTATTTTCTTATATTTGTAAATTTTAAGTATTAGATTTATTTACAAGTATCTACTTATTTAGAATATTAGAAGTGTAATGCCTTGACATACAAACCTTTTAGATATATTAGGTATCATTTATATTTGTCATGTTATTCAGTATCAATGTTGTGCTCGTGTTGTAACTGTAACACTTATTATTTTTTAATCAGCTATTTTTCTTGTCTCGACCAAAACATAATTTCTATCAGACATTCATAGGTTGACTGTACTCATTTTTTATTAAGAGTTCCTTATCTTATTATTTAAGACTACTGTACAATAAAGTATTACAAACAAACAAACAGGAATATATAAAAATGTTTAATGAATGGTTTTGGAAAAAAATATACATAGTTCAGACATTGCGTCAATACGGATAATGCCTTAAAGACGACATTTCACGGTTCATTTATATAAAGCGACCATATTGTATAAACATAAAAGCGAGCATTCAATGTCATTGTCGAAAAGCATTATTTTTCACTTCTCTACCTTTTAACCAAAGTGATTTAGTTTGTTTGAACTGTGTAATGTCGCCATAAGTATCGACTACGGAAACCGTCTGTCATCAGGCGCGTACTCGGTTCCTTACGTACGCATGTCTTCTGAAATGACTATTCTAGATGTAATAGTCGTATCATAATAGTAATTATATAATTAAAAAAATTATTCACAGATGATAAATATATTGTTCTTTGCATTCGATACTCTATATTAGAGATATCATATTCACAATCGTATCTGTAGTGATCGACAATTTCAAAATTGATATCTAAAGACTTGGTAATAGATTTGTTAACACCACTGGCCCTGATGTATCAGCTTTGTGTGTTCTTGTGCTGTTTGTTTTTTTTTTTTCAATCACAGAGTACATTCGAATATCAATTAAATATTTTTATGAGGTCTTACATATGTCAATCTGTATATAATTACCAACTGCATAATATTTACGCAGCTACATAAGTATAATATCAGATACAAGTTGTTCAATGTCATTTAGGGCATTGTAATGGAGAGATTAAGTGTGGGAACGTATCCTTTATCTAATCATATTTCAAAATCAACCATATAATTTTCAATACGTTTAAAATATAGTTGATAGAGTGATTTTAGCTTTAAAATTTTAATTACAGTATAAGTTATAATATAAATTAAATTTATTCTGTCATTAAACAGTTGGTAATAATTTCATAGTTTACAAATAATTACAAAATTTACAAGTTGAGGGTAGAAGTTTACAAAATTTATGACGACATATATATGATGAAGTAGTCAGTGAATGCAGGTGAGTTATGACCGTTCCTTATAATAGTCTATGGGAAAGGCCCATGTTCACCAGTGGACAGATAATGGCTGAGATGATGATGATGATACATATGATTATATTGTAATATCAATATATAAAAATGCTATGTAATAATGATTGTTTATTCTAATCTCTGAAACCACTCATTTAATTTTAACGAAATATTAAATGTGCATTGTCTGCTTCAACTTGAAAGATAAGATAGTTTTTATCCCAATAAGAAAAAATGCGCATAGTAAGTGGTGATATGGGACAGAGCAGCGTTTGCTGAATCATGTAGCATTTCGTAGTTTAATGTTCTAAACAAGAACATTTAAAATTTGGATGGGAAATTATATAAATATATAATGGAGTTGGTCGCCTTTCGCTTACATTTTATGATTTTTCTTTTAATAATAATGGTAATAATTTCATACTAACAGATGTAGTTCTGTAAAAAGTTATTGGATTAACATTTTGTTTTGATCGCAACGTATAGTTTGTATGTTTTTTTTATGAAACTTAAAATGGAAAACAAGCTGTCGGTCTTTTATTTTTTTATGCAATTTAGAGTGACAAACACGCTGACAGCCCACCTGATGTAAAGTGGTAACCGTCGCCTATAGACATAAGCAGTACTATGGACATAACAGAGTATACTGTTTCGCCCATATTACACCCCATGCGTTGCCGTTCCTGAGGTCTCAGGTATTATTTCTCCGTACCTTGTCAAGTGACTGATATAAATCTGATAGATAGCAGTATCCGTTAATAGATATGAACATCATGTACTACGGATCTCTTATGCATAAGTTTTAATATTTTTCGGTTAATTTTGCTGTTTATACTTTAATAAATATTTTAAAAAGGACCTAATTAAAGCAGCTGTCCTCATGTTTTGCGTTAGCAAAATATTTAGCAATTTCATTAAGTAATAAATGTTTATTTATATAGATAAGGTAATTCAAAATCTATTTAAAAGTTACACTAGAGTTGTGAGCAGATTGAGCTCAGCTTTTAGAAATAATGCATGAGCAGTGTCACGGACAGAGTTAAATACTGTTATTATGTTTTTCTTGTTTATATGCTGCGGTTACTATTTACCTCCTATTGCTTGGAGGACTATCAGGTCATTTGTGTACTGTAAAACAAATACTTGTATAATTACGTTTAATTTATTATTTTGATACACAAAACACCCGAATTAAAACCCGCATGAATTGAAAACCTAAAGTTGATACTAATTGAAACATAAGACAAAAAATATGAAATAAGATTGTAACTTGAAATGAAATTAATATTTTGTGTAAATTGATAATTGATAACGAGCAAATTTGTTAAGCAATCGCAACGTAGCTCCTCCTAGCATGGTTTTCTAAATAGGTAATTGAAATGATTAGCAGTTATCTGCAACTAGGTCTGATTAAATTGACGGTGATGCCACTGATATGATGCCATACTTATTCTATTTTAAGACTTTATACTATTTGTTTGCAGATTGTTACTGAAATTCTCAGAAAGCCAACAAGAGACTGAGACATAAGCGGAGTATTTATCTGTTTAACAAAAGATATCTTCGTAAATAAGATAAATGTAGGAAAAAGAAAAACTATATATTAAACTGAAAACAATAAAAAATAAAATCACATGAAAGAAATCCAAAAATATTTGTGTATGAAATTTTTGTTCAGTATTTGTCTTATCGAGTATTGTGCTCGCTCGACATTGTTTGATGGATCATAAAACGATAACATGACGTTAGACGCCATGTTGCGACTATAAACATAAACCGGTTGTGTTTGGAAGGTTATGAAATACGACGAACTATGGACCGGCCGGCTAGTTGTATCTTTGTCACACACTGCGTAAATCTAATCACAAAGAAAGAGATAGCTGATTTGATGGTAAAAATTGCGTCTGAGTCGTCCGCATTCATGCATAGTAAGCAGAAACAACAGTGAGGGCAGGTAAAAAATGTTTTTACGAATAATGTAATAAAAACGAAAGAATGTATCTGTATAAAGTTCCAGGAAATCTAATTTTAGCAAATGTTTACTACAGATAATATTGTTGGCCTTTCAACGGTTGCATGGTTTACCGGAGTTTTTATCGCAATAGAATACAAACATAATGTGGGTGATGATACATACACAGTAATTATCAGAAACAGTAAAACAAGTACTTTGAGCATTTGACCTGTTAAAATGACGGGGCGATATTGTCGATGTTATTCCGAATGAGACATGGAACAGTGAATTAATTTTAAATTCCACTAGTCATTGTAACCTTAACAAAATAAAATGTCACTTACCAGGTCCATAAAATCTCTTTCCTTTTGTGACATCGAAAATTACAGTATTAACAGCTAACAATACTCTTCCATCAGGCCGAGTACCGTCGTACTCCTTTAATTCTGCTACTGTGAAATCCTTACGAATCTTTGGCAAAGCTGGTGGAGGCGGCGGGACTTCGATGTCTGATTCAAATTTAGACTGTATAATCTTGTAGATAAGGTACACAATAAATGCCACTAGAACCAGATTTATAGGACTGGTTAGCTCTGCCCACAAAGTCGCTTGTTCTGCGTCTGACATTTTGTGCGTGTAGAAGGCGCGAGTACTTGAGTTACACTGAGCACTCTAGTGTACCGTTATCAAGACAACGTAAGGTTAGTAAGGTCTAGCGCAGCATTTCTGTTATTTAGGTACATATTAAATTAACACGCCGGCTATAAATAAACAATAAGTAATATTTTCTTGCAATATCGCAAAGTACAAATGTATTACAAAATTTTACAATACTTTACATGGATACTAATGTATCCACGTGAACGATTGTAAAAATATTTAGAAATTCAGATATTTGGACATTTGTTGCACAATTAATTTTTAATGGTTTAATTAATTTTTATGGCATATGTTGCACAGTTAAACCGTAATATATGTAAAAAAAAATATAGGATGCTATTTATCCTTATTTATGGAGTTAAAGCAGGAGGTCCAGTTTAAAATAATTAAAGCTATTTAAACACATTTATAAAACAAATGTAAGTAAGAATATAAAAACCTATAAATTAATAAATAAAATTGACCTTTTCTACTTTGATTTCGAGCTCTTACAAAATTATATATTTAAAACATTATTTTAGCTTAGGATTTGAAAATATTTGATACCATAATAGCTGTAAATGGAGAAATCTGTTATCGCTGAATAGCACTCGGCTTATAAAATAATTAATAAACAAAAGTGGAACAATGCTGGAATAATGATTACTCGCATAAATTATGGTCAAAGGTGTTATTGGACATGGACTGTGGTGGTGTAGGTAAAGGCTTCGTTTGCATGAAATATGATCGTGATAAGTAATTACTATTTCCATCACCAAAAATCTGTAGTATTCACAGTTTAGTTCTAGAAATATAAAATTTATTATCAAGAGAAAAATTTATTAGTTCTTTTTATTAAATAGTACAAGTGACTGAACTATAACATGATTTCGTGAAATGTTCATAGTTTAATTAATGTCTTATTTTTTTAGAACTTAGTTTATTCCACTTTTATTAAATTTCTAGGGAAATTTTTTTCAGTTAATAATTTAAATTTCTGATGATCCTGTTGTTTTTTCTTTCTCTGTAACATCAAATATCTGGTTATTGATTGGATGTCATCCATATACTGCATGCAACATGATTGTGTTGCTTTTTTAGTAGGTATATATATAGTCTTATATATACATAGTATATATATACAGTCATTCTTCCACTAAAGTAGTGGGTTTTGGAAAAAAGAACCCACTATGTTAGTACAATTACTTTTATACTGAAGTAAATTAAATTACTTATAATGATGTCAGAACCTTTGAAATGATTGTTTTTCTAATGAAAATACATATTTTGTTGAAGAAACATGATTTTTATAGCGCTTCCATGGCGTTTCCAGCTTTTAAGTTAGTATTAGAGGTATTTTTTTGTCATTTATTAATCCTTGTTGTCCTTGTTGTTCTTATATAATCGACACATTGTTCCACGATAAAAAACCGACTTCAATTGTGGTAAAATTAGTTATTTTGATTTAAAAACTAAACCACTGAACCATTTTGATAAACATTTTATGAGACTAATCTATAAAAATCTGTATCCTTTTAGATAAAAAAGAAATTTCCAAAATTTTTTATTACTGACGGAGTTATCAAGTAATAAACAAAAAAAAAACAATTGGAAACCTTTTTTGAAGTTGGTTAAAAATGCTCACTTTTACTAGTAGAACACCTAAAAATTATGCTAATCATTTTAATGATTTTGATAAACCACCATTGTTCCTAACTACATTGGCAAAGTCCATTTCTTATAATAAAAAATAGAAATAAAAAATCAACCAACTTAAAAAAAGAAGGAGAATCTCAATTTTCTTGTATTTTTTTCGTTTGTTACTTAATAATTTCGTCATTTTATTTCAGTATAAACATATCTATACCGCTTGGTGAATACAGCTCACACAGTGCAGCTGAAGCTGCTATAGCTGTATATACGTTCGGATTAGATTCTTATCTGACAGCGTGGCGGTACTAAAAGCACTAGAAAACAACAAGATATACGAGTAACAAATTAATTATCTAAATTCACCAAGCACTAGATAACATAATTTTCAATAATCTTTCAATAATCGAGTTATTCTCCAGTGGATAAAGGGCCTCAGTTATACCATAAGATTATGGTAACAATGCTGCAGAAGAGCTAGCTAGAAGATGTACTGGAATGAAAGTGACAGGTACATATCTACTTCTTATCTTCCCTTCCGTTCGCAGTTTCGAATATTGATTCGTCTAAGATCCATTGACAACCAAAGATGGTCACAAGCTACTGATTGCCGACAATCAAATTTGGCCGTGCCAATGTTGAATCAACGACTGTAAAAACGTTTTTTATATGTAGAAAAGAAATACCTTAAAATAATGATAGGAATAATAACAGGCCATTGACCCTTATATTAACATTTATACATTTTAATTTATTTATTAATCAGAGGGAGACTTTGTATAAAAGTCCTTTCATTGGGTACCTCTATACCATTTGTGGTTTAACCGTGAAACAGTTGTGTTTACATGGCTGTGTTTCGGTTTGAAGGGTGGGATATGGCAGTGAATTTATAGGGTACAGAGGCATACGTTGGCATTCGTCAAGTCTCAGGTGTTATGGTGTGTATGCGAAAAAGTGTACTCTGTTATGTCCATGATACTGCTCATGTCTACAGGCGATAATTACCACTTTTCATTAGGAATAGGAGCCACAGACAGCCTTTTACGTCGAGGCTGTTTTGACGCCGAAGAAGCGGTTGTTCACGTAATCCTGGAATATATAGCCCGTTAACGTTTACAAATCCTCGGAACAGTGGGCTCGTTCCATGAGGACTGTGAAGATACCAGGAAGCTTCTTTCAAATGGTGTTTGGTTGGTTGTTCTTTCACATGCCACGATTCACACGTACAATGGCTCAAATAGGAGGCTTAGTGTGGAAATGTAAGTTCAATTTACATTACAATTCATTATAATTTTGTCATTTATAAACAGTTTCTGAATTTTTTAATTAAAAAAAAAAAAAAAACTTTTAGATTGGAATTAATTTGGATGTTTTTTATTTTGTGGAACACAATCTTAAATACGATTATATTTCGAAATATCAATAGGAAAATTTTAAATAGTTAAGTACCAAACGATTAATTACTGTTAGATTTATGTATAATTTGTTTTAGGCCAGTATTAGACTTTTTTTAATTGTTTCACGGAAGAAATAAGTAAGACATTACACAATTCAATTAGGTGAGTCAATAGTTTCAGGTGACGCACTAGAATGAATCGTGTATCTATAGAGAGATATAGACATATATAGATATAATACTATTATCTTATACCTAATTTCAAGTAATGAATATAAATAGTCAAGATGACAATAAGTACGTTATTAATAAGACGTATTTGTTAGCATGAGATGACATTTTTTTTATTGATGGTAATGGAATGGTAACCCCGCCTGTGTTAATGGTATACGCTGGCGAGGTACCAGTGAGGGGTGCTAGTGCTAGGTAAAAATGAAAAGGCAGATCAGTTAGCTAGTGCTTTTAATCGCAAAACTATATTACTGAACCGATTTTGATAAAATCCCTATGAGAGCAATCAATATGAGGTAGTAAACATAAAAAAAATAAAACCAAATTGAGAACTCCCACCTTTCTGCAAGTCGGTTAAAAATAAAATTTATAGCCCACTGTACTCAACGCACTTTCGTTATTAAATCATCTGTAGTGTACTCTTTTTTGAGAGAATAATTTAAATGTACCAATTCGGGTAGTTTTCGATGACGGCTCGATTTCATTTCATTGTTGTTAATTAGTCGAATAATTTTAATAGGATGTACACACAACGATATGTGAACTTAATTCTGAATGAATGTACCTTTGTATTCACATTATTGAGTTGCATATTGTTTTTTAGTTATTCAACTATAGTTTTGGTAGATTCTTATGTACTGAGAAGAAACTATAAGAAACTTATGACATACCGTCATTTATTTGGGTGTATTATAAATAATACACCCAAATAAATATGTAATAAATTACAGATTGAGTACGATTTTTATATCTAATCAAGTAAAGTCACGCCTATTTATAATTATCTAAATGATATATTTAATCGTTTAGCAAGATTATTTAAATTAATAACCGGAGGCAAAGGGATTGTTAGTAATGGGATCTAACAGCTTCATTGCTATCAAATGACGACCAGGTGAAGTCGATCTTAACGCGATTCTCTTTAGAAACCATCGTGGTTAATTCTTATAGAATTCTTCACAATGGGCTAACTGACCTGCTTCCATCCTCACCTATCATCTGTCACTGGTGCCCTGCCAGTGTATACCAATAGCGCAGGCGGGGTTACCATTACATTTTCACATATTAAAAATTTTAATATCTATATCATAGAAAACAGGTATTTACCTGTTTTCTATGATATAGATATTAAAATCTATAGGCGATGACGTTACCATTCTCATAAAATATCCATTTTTATTTGCTATTCTGAATTGCATACATATGCAAATTCTATGCAATTAACTTATATATACGATAAAGAGTTTATTAAAAATATTAAATAAATATTGTTAAAAAAATATTGTTTTAGGGTATTACTGATATCGAAGTCATAATGGCGTCGAAAGAAAATTTGGATTGTATTAAAATCCATTTATATTTATGTAAAACTATTGCTAAAATAAATTGATTAGTGAATTTGCGTGGTGTCCTTGGTGACCACTAGTGAACTGATTAGGACAATTAATTACAATATAGAAATGTAATATAAAGTATATGAAATAGGTAAATTTACTGACGTTACCGATGAACGTTGTTTGCTCGTAAAAATTTATACAATAATAATTTTTATGGCGGCGAAAATACAGGAAATAGAGGAGAAATAGAGGTATAACACCTTATTTATGGTAACGCAGTATACTACTACTTATAGGCTACGGTTACCAATTTTCATCTGGTGGGCCGTCAGCTTGTCATTTTTAGTTGCATAAAAATATTATATATTTTATTTCATAATATACATATATCATTTTTATTCCAATTAAGGTACATAAAATAGC